AGGGATAAATCCCCCAGGTTATTCAATAAACATGGTCAGCTCTGAAGTTATGGAATTATATTCCCAGTCATTAAAGTTCTTTATTTGCTTGTTTCATGTTTCAAAACGTAGACGACAAAGAAAAATTTATCAGTTTACCATTTCCAGATTTTCGAATATATATATGTGTGTGTGTATACAGTAGTTAATTAATGAATTAGCAATATCTTTTCTGTTTTATACACACAGCATTGTAAAAATTAGATAATCGATTCTACATTCTGACGCTTGCCATTAAATAATAGATCTTGGAGATTTGTTTATGTGGTAGTAAATCTCAAGCTTAAATGTTGCAGGCCAAAATCCTCACGCTTTGGTAATGGCAGAGGACATGAAGTAGAAACTTCACAAATACTGTTGCCAGTTCTATCACTGTTCCGGAATAAACAAGGCAATACTCTGCAGCACCTGTCTGCCGAAATGAAATTCACACAGGAGGGTGAGGAATGCCACTCTCTTCGCCTCAAAACCTCACTCAAAACACGCCTTGGGTGACATTCTCAGAAATAGTGTTCCGAAAGAAACTAGACATATTTCTCATTCTGCAAAAACAGAGGCAAGCACTAGGCTCAAAAATATTTATGTCAAAGCCAGAAAACCACAAGTAGCAATGATCTCCACCAGCAAAATCACAGGATTTGTAATAAAGGGCTTCATTTTGTTTTGGGTTCAAAGATTTGACTTGGATATTTATCTTTCTTTGGAAGAGGGTTAATACTTTCTCACTTCCCTGTTTAAAGACTTAATATCAATAGTAAATATGTGTGGACTTGTATGGTTCCTTGGTTTTCAAGCCAGAACACTGTTATCTGCAGTCCGTTAATAACAGGCTGAGTCACAAAATGGTAAACAAAATTATACAAGAAAGTTAATTTCAAGGATTTTTTTTATAACTGTCTTGGTTTTTGAACTGTGAAATGTTACTAGCCGCATTGTAAGTCTAGCTAATAATAGTAATTGCTGCTTTGTAAAACTGATGTTAAACTTCATGCCGTCTGGTCTGGGTCTGGCAAGATGAATCAGTTGGTAGAGGTGCATGTGTGGATTCCAGAGGACCTGAGTTGGACCCTGGGACACAACAAGGTAGAGAGACAGAAATGGCTCTTAAGGATAGTTTTCTGATTTCCTGAGGCATATACATACCTATCCCCCGCCTCTGACAACTTAAATCAATCAATCAATCAATAATACATACACATAACAAATGAAGCCGTAGAATCTCTTCCTTAAACAAGTGTCAATAACAGTATTGTTTGTCTTATGCCATTTAGGCAGAACCCATAAAGCAGACTTTAATTTGGGTCATTTAAAAGCAAACAATAAAGGAGCATAGGCAGGTTTTACATTGTGGCCTTTTGCTGCATTGTTGCTTGTTTGCTTTTTCAACAGGCCAGTCTTAGAATTGTATTTTTAAATTGAGTGCTTGGCTATTGCTAGTCACTCAAATACAACCTGTAGAATTGGGGTCCTTTTCTACTGTGAGATCAGCATGGTTACTGCATTATTGAGTACATTCGAAAGCCATTACACAGATGATAGGTTGCTTATGTGCACTTGCTTCTCTATGTGTGTGCATGTGCAGAAGGATGTGAGGAAAGCATGCTCAATAAAATCAATAAGGTATTGAAGTCAGTTTCATTTAATGTTCATAAAGAAAAATGCTCCTGGGTTTTGCTTCAGTTTTTTGAACCTACTAGCAGGTAAGGGCCTGGCAATATGACACTTCTGTACTCCATCCATTTATTGTGAACACAGCCTGCAGCATCTGCTATACAATTATTTACAATATGTGTACATTTTTCCATGTCATTTTTGTCAGATTATAACTTATATTAAAACAGGGCTTTCAGTGGCTTGTAACAAAATTGGTTCCATACTAACTAACTCATAGTACTTGCTCAGTAAATATTTATTAAACCTATGATTAATCTAATACTATTTACCTATAAAACATACAGCTGTGTTAGGTTTTCCAATGAAATGTCTAGTCAGGTCCTGTCTTATATTCACAGAGATATTTACTTACCTGAAGTATTAGTATAATATTTATCATATGCCATTCTAAATATGAATGTTATTCAGCAGGGTGTTTTAGGAAAACATATTTTCTTTGATTTTGTCATTTTCTTCTAATCAATCTTGAGATGACATGAATATTCTTAGAAATATATATACATATGTGTGTGTGTGTAATTTTAAACTAGGGAAGCATTTTATTTATAATACTTATTATTTTCTGGAAATGGCATATTAAAATTCAAAACAACTGAACACTTTAGTCTAATTAATAAATAGAGGATAATGAGATTTTTATATACCACTTCAAAGATTTTAATAATAAGTCGATATGATGGCATTCCATGTTTTGTTCAATGAATACAATATTTTATATTTCCTTGATATATCATCAGAGTTGCAATATAGTTATAATACTGCATTATCCATGAAATGTTTACTTGAGCAACATTTTCATTATTTAGTGAATCATTTTGTTATTTTTAAATCTAGCTAGCTGAAGGCACTATAAAAGAATGAAAATATACCATCTTTGAAAATAGTCACTTATTGCACACTGATTTCATTATGACACAAGTCTTTCATTAGTAGACGTAAATACAACGATCAATTTTGGTTCAGTATCATTTTCCTCTGTCTCTGCTGAGCAGTGTGAATCTACTTCAATTGACCAGAGAATCTGTTTCTTTAGTGGAGGTCAAACAATTCTGAGAAATCATCTCAGTACTATTGCCTTATCTAGGAAATATTGACAAAGTGCTTTGTTCTTACTTAGGACACACGAAAATAGAAAGATAGTTAGCACAAGTCAATTGCATAAGGATTATTTTATAAATCATTTTCAGGTGGGTGACAGCAGGTCTACCAAATGACTATCTAGTACTCACAAGATTGATAGATGCTTAAGATATTTTGAAGAGATAAAAGTCAAGAAAGTTCTCCTTACTTTATTAGAAAGAATAAAGTTGTAATATCCTTCCTGACTGATAGTAATACAGCTTCAGAATTTGAGTCAAGCTATATACATGTGTTGCTTGTTTGTAATAGGCAGCTTTCTGTTCTTTTTGAATTTACTGACCCATATAGTAATGATATTAATGGAGGTTGACTTCTATAGGATAGCTGGGGTCATTACAAAGAACTTCAAGTCATAATGGGTGATATCTTAAGTATGAGAATAAAAGCACTTGAATTCTATAAGAGGTCTAAAAGGTTACTTTTATTAAAGAAAAGAAATATAGTTACATAAAAGAACAATAAGTGATGATTGTTTAAAAATAAAATCTACACTGTAATTGTGTCATGTCAAATACTTATTGTGTAATAAGAACTGAATCTAAATTATTGTCCAGCTGTAACCTCCCTCAGTTTGGTTGTATTATGTTACTGTTTCCATGATAATATATCATGACCAAGACAAGTTATGGAGGAAAAGTTTATTTGGGGCTTATAGCTTCAGAGTGTTAGAGTCCATGACCATCATGGTGGGGAGCATGGTTTAGGGCTGGTATATATGAGGATAGAGCAGTACTTGTCATATCTTGAGTTATAACCTCAAAACAGAGAAAGTAATTTTGGAATACTGTGGGTTTTTGATACCTTAATGCCTTTCCTCTTTGACACATCTCCTCCAACAAGGCCACACCTTCTAATTCTTCCCAAACAGTTCCACCAACTGAGGACCAAACATTCAAATCAATGAGCCCATGGGGTTCATTATCATTCAAACCACAACATTGACAGTCCTTTATTCATTGTCTGTTTAGAAAGATTTTTGACTTGGCTGTAAGCAAATTCTTTCCTCTATCTGCCTAAATTTAGAACTTGCCATGTGAGTTTTCTAGAACTACGGGAATCTAAGATGGGATTTAATCAGTGGAGCTCCTATAGGCCAAGAATGGTCTATCCTTTGGGAATCTATGATATACTTCAGCATATACAAGGCATCAAAAATGAATTAAGGCAACTACTTTCATTTATTTATTTTAACCTCTACTACTTTTGCTTTACTCTGGGACATGTTTACACTTTTATTTAGCATTAACTAATATTTTCAGCACCTTTCTCTAAGCATAGATCATTTTAGCCATGATGAGAAGAGATGGACAAGGGAAGGCATAGTTTAAAAATGACTGGTTTAAATTTATGATAAATTGTTCTTTAAGTTTTGCCTGTTTATTTTTGTAAAAGCCTCTATTAAAGTGTTTTTGCTTCTCAGTTTTACAATTTCTAGCATTGCTATGATTTATGCATTATTCTTCAATTGATGTGTATATCATTTTAAGATTAAAAGGCATGTATTGGTTGCTAGTCTGTGAGGTTTTTTTGTTTAATTTATAGAGGTTTCTGTACTGTGGTCAGGCATTTAACTGAAAAGGCCATTGCTCAGAAATCATTGTGATTTCAACTTTTAATTTTTCTCAAACATTTGAGAATTGCACTCATTGCTTTTAATATTTGAATTAAAACATGCTAATGCCAACAGCATAGCTATATTTGTTTATTCTTTTACAAAAAATTCTCTATACATAATATAATATATTATCTAAAGATTTATATTTATGTATAATATATATTCACATATATATTAATATATATACTATACATAGATAATGCATAATACACATGTAATTTCTTAACATGAAAGACTCTATTATGTTTCTATTTTCAATGGATATATATTTCCAGTTCTTAATCTTTCAAAATTTTGAAAAAGACTCAATTGCAATTTAAAAACTTCCAAGATCAATCCTAAATGGGAGAAAATAGCCTGGATCATTTTCTTTTATAGTTTTAAATTATAACAGAACAAGGTACAGTTTTAAAATTAAGGTTTGCTGTGAAGCTATCCATGTTAATATTGCTGTGTTAAATGTGTAGGTACAGAACTGTCGATGACATGCGGGACATTTAGCCAGTGACATTTTAAATGAATCTCATCATAGGGAAAACCTGTGGGAACACCAGATGCCGGCGCTTACTTCCGCGTGCTTGCAGAGCATGGAGTGGCTGCCTTGTTTACAGCACCGACTGCAATTAGAGCCATCCGTCAACAGGACCCTGGGGCAGCCTTGGGGAAGCAGTACTCTTTGACAAGGTGAAGTAGAGGCGCACAGGGCAAATTACATCAGAGCCTGCAGCCCAAATATAGCTGAGCATTAGGGTTTGGTTTTGTAATGCCTTCATAGAAAGACGAAAATATTGAAAATGTTATTAAGAGTGGCTCTGTATTTGTAACTCAGATAGCTGAATTAGAAACCTCAATACACATATTTTAAAACATGATAATCCTGTTTGTTTCAATTCAACTCAAATCATAGCACTTCTCCTTTTTCCTTCCCTCTGTTTCTTCCTTCCTTCTTCCTTTCCTTCCTTTATTTCTTCCTCCCTCCCTCCCTTCCTTTCTCCCTCCCTCCCTCCCTCCCTTCCTTCCTTCCTTCCTTCACCTCTCCCGTTATCCCTCTATTGTCCTGGTTACATTTGTTTGTAATGGGAGCAATTATTCCATTTTGGTTTGTAGGAACATGCGGTGTATACCTTAGATGTTTCTATGTTGTTGATTTCCTTAGTTTAATGATAGGTATCTTCAGCAGTAATTATGATTATGCCCTCAATGTCCTTTCCCACACTAGTTCTTGCTGAAATCGCTGATATAGGTCAATTCTGTCATAAGATAAAAGAAGAGATTTTGATTTTTCTTTTTTCTTTTTTTTTAAATTTTTGATACAGGGTTTCTCTGTAGTTTTTTTGGTGCCTGTACTGGAACTAGCTCTTGTAGACCAGGCTGGCCTCAAACTCACAGAGATCCTCCTGCCTCTGCCTTCCAAGTGCTGGGATTAAAGGCGTGCGCCATCACCGCCCGGCCTGTTTTTGATTTTTCTTCAAGTAAAAGGATGGGTTTCATTAAGAGAGTGAATATTTGATGTCAAATGGTATGGTATTTGAATTTTATGTTTCTGTGGTCTCAAGTAATTAAAATAGGTATCATACACGTAGCTGCTTAGATAAACAAGAAGGTTTCTGTTTGAGCAGGATCTGCTTATTCATCTTTAAAATACGTTTACATTATGAGCCAATAGATCTAGAGTTGCTAAAAATTACATAGATAATGTAAATAATACAGTTTCATTTAACAAGATGCATAATATGACTGTTGCACGACGGTATTCTATGTGCCTTCATTTATCTTACTTCAGTTGTCCCTAGTTCAATGTAGAAGATAGAAAATTGATTTTGGCAAAAAAAAATATACCCTGTTAGTTATATAGTATATCTTATCTTAAGACAACCCTAGAGGCTTTGAAAAAGTGTTAATTTAGTTTCTTAAGTGTTTACTTACATAAATATACTGTACTAAGTGTAAGTGTAGGCTGCAATGTTCTTTGTTTTCCTAGAGTACTACTACTTACATATGGATTTTTAATATGTCATCTTTCACACAATAGCGATCACTAAAATCGGCACTTTTTTTCAAATGAATAATTACTCACAGAATAAGGGAATTTATCATAAGCCTAGTGAAAATATCTTTCTCCTCCTCATCTCCTGTCTTTAGGAACCTAAGGCATCCATGTTGACAATTTGTCTGTTTTAAGTTGACATGTAGGAGTGATTAAATGCTTAGTATACTTTATAAACACCCTGATCTTCAAAATGTTCATATTAGTGAGTGAACACACTGTACAAGACACAAGTGGTTCATCATCTCATTTAGCACTAGCACCTTCACATGTAGAATCTGTATACCTTATCTTTATTTTACAGTTGAGTAAAGTTAAGACACAAGGGCTTAAATATCTCTTCAGGAAGAAACTTATTCAGCCAGTCCTAACAGGGCTCATACACTTATCTTATCCACATAGGTATAGTGTTACTATTTAGAAAAAGTATCACCTCTCATAAGCGGTTTTGACATTCATGTAATAAAAGGCTCTTTTGCTTTTTGTATTTATATGCTACCCAAATAATGCCACTATTGAAGAATTTTGATAGATTCTCACTTGCCAACTGAGAGTCCAGGGGAACCAAGCGAGTTTAAGAAATTCCAACTGTTTATTGCCAACAAAGATTTTTTTGCGGTCTACAAAGGTTAAGTTTTAGTTAAAGGCTGCATGTAGAACACTCCTCAAATATTCTCATACAACCAAATGTGTGACATTAGCACCATGTTAAAGACATTTAATTCATACTGAGTAGGTTAAAGGTAAAATAGAATACTGTTGGACAACACTAACAGAACTTAATTTTAAAGACTTTCATCAGGGAAAACCATGCATGTAGAATGATGGTTAGGGAACCCAAAGTGAGCAGTGTCACAGTGAGAAGATGCATTAGTGAAATTTTGAAACCATATGTGATGCCGTGTTTGAGGGAAACTCAAAATTATGTAAGTAAAGAGTAAAAGAAAATAATGGTTTAGAGTTATTTTCAAATGCAATGATCGTCTTTGTTGTATACTGAGAAATCACAAGAAGCTCTCTTTCACTGTGTGGATGGATTAGTGACCTATGAGATATTGGATTCACTTTAAATCTCTTCAATTTAAGAAAAAAGTATTGTGCTGAGAATAAGTTACGTTCCTACATTATTAAGACAACTTATTCACTTGACAGACAAGTGAAATGGCGGTTAGATGAATGTCGTAGTGTTAACGTTTTTATTAATTTTATTGAGCTGTACATTTTTCTCTGTTCCCCTCCCTGCCTCTACCCTTCCCTTCAACACTCCCCCAAGGTTCCCATGCTTCCAATTTACTCAGGAGGTCTTGTCTTTTTCTCCTTAGACAACAATGAGGACACTAAGAGAGACATACATAGATCTAATCTACATGGGAAGAGTGAACTTTTTTAAGTAGGAAAAGTAGTTTATCTCATATAGTAAACAAAAATACATTTAAATTAGTTTAATACATAAAAAGCTATAACAGGAATAAGCTTTTGATGTCTTTCACATGTAATAAATTTTAAAGCATAAATCATAATCCATTAAGGAAAATTTTAATGAAATTTGACGAAAGTTTGGGCAATTCTCCATCAAAAGAATAAAGATTTGTATACTAAGAGATTTTTATAATATATATAATTGTTAAATATATAATTTATAAACCCTCTCACTAAGGAACAGGCAACTCAGTAAAGAAATGGGTGGGCAACAAAATGAGTTCATGAAGAAGGATACTGAAGCATGACAAGATTTTCACTTTCATAAATACTTTTGAAAATTCAAAATTAAATGAGATTTTATTTTATTCCTACCATAAATTGAAAAGCTAAATTATATATCAGTGGCCTTTTTGATCACTGTTTTTGCATTGCTGGTGAGAGTTTAAACAAGGATCACTAGTAGTATGCTTATACCATGTGGTCAGACCTTTGCTAGTATGGAGGAATGACAGAACAGAACGCTGTTTCCTGCCTTGGAGAATAGGCTGTTGCCAACGGATGCTATTCCAGGGCCCAGAGTCAACGCCATATGTTTGCTCATCTCCCCAGAGTCAGAGCTGCCACTGTGTCTTGTTAGTATTTATACCTGATTTGCAGCTATGCCAGACTCTGCATGGCACAGGCTCTGAAGCATTTTCTTACTTTCCTGTGCCATCCCAGGGTTATGCTTTATAACGTCCCCTAACACCATGATCAGAACCACAATTCCTTGCTGTCTTCCAGAGTCTATACTGCTGAGGTATGCCACAGACCGACACTGGTGTAGTGTGTGTGCCGTATTCACTTGCACAAGAATAGGCAACTTGTGCCTCTTTCAAAAGTGCTATTGCAATTTACGATATTCTGATTCAAGGAATCTGGCTTCACAGCCTCTTTGTGTGTTTGGATCCCATTGCTGTTAGCAATGGCTGTAAGCCAAGTCATACTCATCAACAAAGCAACAAGAGACCCCTAAATTCTTTTGCCTAATTACCTATGCAGCCAACATCACTGCTAACAACTGCAGCGTAAATCATCAAAACATTCACAACCATTGCTAACATTATTCTGACCAACCAACCAACATCCTCAGGCTGTAAGGAAAATTCTCTCTGGAAGCCACCCTGTAATGTTTATGCAAAGTAATTACAGCCCCCTCTTTTTTTTTTTTTAAAAAAAAGATATATTTATTATGCATTCAGCATTCTGCCAGCAGGTATTCCAACATGCCAGAAGAGGGCACCATAGTTCATTTATAGATGGTTGTGAGACACCATGTGGTTGCTGGGAATTGAACTCAGGTCCTTTGGAAGAGCAGCCTGCACTCTTTACCTCTGAGCTGTCTCCCCAGTCTCAAGTGACTGCAGTCTTAAACACAGATGTAAGGAACAGACACAAAGAACATGAAAATCAGAGACACTAGCAATAAAATACAAGATTCTCCAGCAGTTGACCTCAGAGAAACAGAAATTCATGAACTGCTACAGAAGGAGTATAAAATGAGTCCTGTAAAGGAAACTCAACAAAAAATTAAAAAATCAATAGTTCAATAAAAGTAGGAAACAGTTCATGACCTATGTCATGTAATAGAAAGATAGATTGCAGAACAGAGAAACAATTCTGAAGGCTGAATAATTCAATTAGGTAGAATAAACAATTGAGAGTTTCAGCCGTAAATTAGAGAGAACAAAAGAAAACTTGAAACTGAAGCTGTGTTGCTTTAGTGACTTGGGAACTAAAAAGAAAATAAGAATCAAGAAGAATAAGGGTTAGTAGATGGGCACGGAGAACAGAGTGTTATGTTTTAGCCAATTTTAAATATTTGCCAGTCTTATTGTCTTATAACAGCATATTAATCCCTCAATTTTCATCTCAGAATGTTAATAATTTTTATTGGCCATTTGAAAAAAGTTTCCATTGTTAAGTATTTAAGAATTTGCAAAGTCTTTCAATGAATCTCTTTATCTATCTGTCTGTCTGTCTGTCTGTCTGTCTATCTGTCTATCTACTTACCTATCATATCTATCTATCATCTATCTATCATCTATCTATCTATCTATCTATCT